TCATTCTAGTGTGAAGAAAACAACAATTTGTACAATTTAGATGAAACAAGTGAAAACAGCACTAGGATTATTTTATATTCAGTTTCTGTCAATAGATCAATTTCACCTGAATCTTAGACGCTGAGCTTTAACGATGTGACCCGGTAATGGTCAGGGTTACTCGGCTGCAGCAGCCGCTCATGATCCAGATGAAACCTCGTGTTTCCACCTCTGACCTCTGACCTCAGTCTGTTTGTCTTTGACGTCAAGAAAAAGACACAAGCTCTTCATGTCGGACGCTCGTTCCTTGTGTTGATGGCGTGTGGTCTAATGTTGTGATGGGGGAGTTACGTCACGTCGTCCACGTCAAATAAAAGACATAGGCGGAGCCTCCTGGCTTGTCTTTGTTTTCCACTGTCAGGCTTCGTCATTGTTTTTAGTCGCTCTGCCTCTCTGACCTCTGACCTCTGTCCTCCTGAGACGCTGCTGCTGTCGATTCTCAGACGGCTCCATTTCCATCATCTAGCAGAGGATTCTGGGAAGTCATGTCCAGTAATGGACTGTGTCCCTTAGGACGTCTTATGAGTTCAGTAATGGCTCCTGCTGCTGCTCAGTCCAATAACTCGATATGATTGAACTTCACCTCCTGAAACTCATCAGTTTAAATACTACATTACCCATGAGCCTCTGCTGCGGTAGATCCAAATTCAAACCCCATTAAACAAAATGTTTCCATCATCAAAAGAAACTGAATTATCTCCACGTTGATTTTTATACATGATAAATAAATACATAAACTTATGAACATATAAGTACAAATACAAACACATGAACATGTAAGCACAACGTCAGAGGAGAATGTGTGTATCTGTTGTGTCCAGCAGGAGGAGCTCTGAGTTGCTGAAGAGTTTTCTTTATTAATTCCATTATGGTGAAATGTTCTGTCACAGAGGCAGAAAAAATACAAATATCAGTAAATAAACTCGTAAATGAGTAAATTTGAAACAAAAACATTACAAAAATTAAAGAAAGTAAATATAAACAATACAAACAGGAGTTTATATGAAATGAAATGGTTCCGACAGCAGCAGGAAGTAAAGACCTGAAACCAGGATTCAACGTCCACATGTGTGTAAACATCTGGAAACATGGACGTGATGTTAATGTGTCAGACTGTGGACTCTTATTAACCTGCTGGGTTTATTCTCTGAACTCTGATCAAACCATCAATAATTAATCACATGTAAATAAAACAATGTTTAGCAGCAGTTCAAGTAGATTTAATATTAAAACAAAGTTTCACAACTCTTTAAACTGTTACACTATTAGCATTCGTGTCACCTCCATTCATTCCTTTCTGTGTGCTCTCGCAGGTCTTGGCCTGAAGCTGCCGATGTGGACGTGTCCTCGCTGACATTGAGGCGTTGTCAGAGGTGAAAGGTCATGATGACGACGGTGGCCGCCGAGTACGACCACATGGAGCTGCAGCAGCAGTACAGCAGCAGCAACGACACGGTCAACAACCGCTGGGATGACGACTGGGACAACGAGAACAGCTCGGCCCGCCTGTTTGAACGCTCCCGCATCAAGGCGCTCGCAGGTAGGCACCAGTCCACCTTAACAAACTGTTCGTGTTAGTTACTGGACCCTGATTGGCTCCAGACTGTGATGTCATAACTCCTGCAGCTTGTTGCGATGGAGAAGAAGCCAGATTGTGAATGTTTGACACCAGCTGTAAAAAGGGTGAACGACACGGCAGCTTCCTCAATGAAGCCAAAACATCGCCCCCCGGTGTCTGGCTGCTGAACAGGTCATAAACTCTGCCTCCTCCAAGTTAGCAGATGGGACAAGGACCAAACTAAAGAGTCAGATTAGACAGTAAATATATTACACACATATACACACAAGATTTTACTCTGTGTAGGAAGTGTGCGTGCGTGCGTGCGTGTGTGTGTGTGTGTGTGTGTTACAGGATGTTTGTTTGTCTGGAATGTGAATGAACAATAGCGGGAAACACACCCCCCCCCTTCACACCCTTAGTGACATCATTGTCAAGCTGCAAAGTCATTGGCTGATTTGCCCACAACACACACACTTGGACTCCCTCTACACTGTAAAGAAATGTCACATTATATTAATGTTATAATTAATTACATTTACATTCGTCTGTGATGTCACGATGATGTCACAGTCTGATCTTTGATTTATGTTGATTATAAATCCGAGTCCTCTCTGCAGCACAGGGTGTGTCGCCTGAAAGGCAAACTTCAGGGAGAAGCAGCTGCGTGAGGCGACTGCAGGATGAGAACTGAAGTGAATCAACTATTTCATCAGAGCGAAACTGTGAAAATGACTCGACATCCACAGAACAATGTCCCTTTAATTTTTACTTCAATTTTTAACAGTGTAATTTTGCAGAGGGGGGGGGGTCCTTGCCCCTTTGTTTGCAGTGGGCGGGGCTTGTGTGTGTGTGTGTGTGTGTGTGTGTTCTGGAGGGAAACAGAAAAATCCGTCTGCAGCAACAAGAACGAGCAGCAGAAGAAGAATGAGCTGCTGAAGCTGCTAATGCTTGGCAGGACTGGAAACACACACGAGACTCACACACATCAGACACACACACATCAGACACACACACACGAGACTCACACACATCAGACACACACACATCAGACACACACACACGAGACTCACACACATCAGACACACACATTGCGCTCGGCGTCACTCTGACCTCTGGACTCTTTGCTCTCATCTCCTGAAACACGAGGACGTTTTTCTGTTTTGGGAAAAAAAACCATGAGGTTTTTATTCTGAGTTTTTTTCTGTAACACAGAAAATTAATTTCCTTCATTCTGAGTCTCTGTTTTTGGATTTACAGATTTTTTCCAGTTGATTTTTGTTCATTTCAAAGCAGCTGGATTTATTTTATTCAAGAGGAAAGTTTGAACTTTATGACGAATTTTCAGTGAAACTCTTTGATCTGATCTCAGGACGTTTCCTTGTCTGCTGGATTTATCTTCATCTGGAGTTGTGCCTGAACACATAGAAACATACACACACATACACACACATACACACACA